GATATACATCTTAAGGGTGGTGTACAAAGGTGGGAGAAAATAGTGCAAAACAAGACTAAATTAAACATTGGTGTGGGCTTAAGATAGCAAGGCTCTGGAGTCGGTTTCATTCCAGAGATTACAGGAGCTTTTTACAGCCTGTTGATCAGTGAGCTGAGATATAGCCCAAGGATGCTTTCTTCTAAATTAAGGACAAATCTCAGACAGGGCGTGGCCTACTCACCGAAAGACATCTGAAGCCGAAATGAGACTGCTATGTTAGCATAAACGACCACATAAAGAACTGTTTGGCCACCTTGGTATGCCCTGAGGATGTGACTTTATAACTGATTTCCTAAGGAGAGCCTAGGCACCTCTCTAGTGACTGTTCTGTTTGCCAGACGTGGCTGTGGCTTTGCCCTTGAGCAACAATCATGCATGCTACAGTGCAAAATGACTCCTCTGTTAACTGTCGTCCCAACCTTTGCCAAGTGGATCTCTGATCCATCACTAGAGTAACCAACCATGCACTATAAAGGTGGGCGAATTATTCAGGTGTCTCCAGAGAAATAGAATCAAGACATGAACATCCTGGGTAGCGGGGAGTCCAGGACAGCCTGGCTATAGGTTCATGCTGAAAACCCTTACGGCCTCCTCTGATACCTCAAAGGAGCTCCCCGCTTAACTCTGCCTTGTAGGCCTAAACTTTAATCTGACTTCCCACGGTACTGTCTGCCTACCTGCGATGTTGGAGCTGAACTTTGCTTAGGCCCTGACTGAGCCTCTGGTTGTCTATATATCCACAGCATTAATAATCTTTTAGTAAACTCAATAGTCAAAAGGCTGTTCTACCACAGTCTGCCCCCACGAGCCCCCAAAGCTGAGACCTTTTATTCAGCATGACTCCAACCCATGCCAAGAAGTTGCTATAGTTTGAATGTGTCCCTTGAGGTTTACTTCCTAATGCTGAAGATAGAGCGGAGGGCCTTGTACAACCAGCAACATCTCCAGAGCAGAGAGGTAACGCTTCTAAAACATGATTATATCATGAGGGATCTCCATTCCTGGACAGACTGCCAATGTTAGCTCTGGTTAGTAATCAGCAGGGCAAGTTGGCTTTAAGAGTGAGGTTGACCGGGTGTGATGACACACATCTTCAGTGCCAGCACTTAGAAGGGGGAGCTCTTTGAGTTAAGGCCAGCCTGGTCACCATAATGCCAGACCAGCCAGGGCTACATCACAAAATCATGAGACTCTGTCTCGATATAATAAAGCGAAACAAAATAGGGTGAGGCTGGCCGTCTTTCAGTTCTTCTAGCCAGATGCTGCCTCTGGCATGTTGTGCCATAGCAAGAAAGATTTCATCCGATGTGAGCTCCTGACCCTGGTCTTGTGAGCTTTTAAATCTGTAAGAAAAAAAATCTGAGCTCCTTCTAAAATTCCCAGTGTTAAGTACTCTGTTAAGGAAGCAAAAAAAAAATGGTATAAGACGAGCAACCCACTCGCTAATCTAGTTCAGAACTGTGACAGATACACTCAGAAACAATGTAGAATCTGGACCCCCCCCCCAGTGCAGTCAAACAGAAATAACATTATCATGGTAAGTCATCAGAATTCGGAGATTATTTAATACCATCCCCAAAGTGACACTCATGTCTGGGGAAGCACAATGTAACTGTGGCTCACGGGTAAGATTAGAGATCATATGATCAATCCAGCTTCACTTACATCCATCTCGGGCTCCCGAACTCACCTTTCAATTATATCCTAATAGCCTGATAGTCAGAAAGCTATCGTTAGAATAGACGTTCAGAACACGGCAGCTATCACACATTGGTTCTCTGACCTTCCGGGAAAGGGCTATTGCAATATGAAAGGCCCAGTGGAAACCACTAGAACTGCATACCTATACTAATAGCAAACTGAAAATGACACTCCAGCCATAGAGCGGTTTGTGACACCGTTGGCAATTAGAGATGCAGGTTGCCGATGCTCATGACATGCATCTTAGAGAATGACTGCAGTGGTGGTCTTTGTAATCAGATGATTACTCCAGGAACCAATGCGATTCTCTGTGACACTTCCTTGTTTTCACAATCAGTGTGTTCCTGGGCACCTGACAGTCACAAGGAGAATGGCAATATAACATCACTTTGTGTATGCAAGAATATTAAGCTATGTATGTACATGTTCATGAGTGTGTGCATGTGTGTCTTCCTTAATCATTTTCCATCTTAGTTTTTGAGACAGCATCTCTCACTGGACCCGGAGCTTGTCAATTCAGTTGCGTTGGCTAGCCGGAAAGCCCCAGGGATACTCCTGTCTCCACGGACGCAGCAATGGGATCATTGGTGTAAGTCACTGGGCCTGATTTTTTGTGTTGGTTCTGGGGATTTGAACTCAGGCCTTCATGTCTGTGCAGCAAGCATTTTACTCATAGAGCCATTTCTCCATCCCCCAGTATCACTTCTTACCTCAGGTTTACATCCTAAAGTAGTTCTTAGGGATCTTGATTACCAACGTATAGCCCCATTCTTTTCAATTGGTGGCATTATTCCCATTGATGTGGGAATGGAAACCAGTCCAGACCCCCTGGCAGCACACTTGCTGGATAGAGCATGAGAAATCGTTCCCAAACAAAACCAGGGCCTTTGAAATGAGTGACACTTGGGTGATCACCTAATCTAAGGCATATCGAGACAGTGCTTGTAAGATGAACAAATACCCATATCTTGGCTTTAAAAAGGGGACACCACAACACTTTACCTCAGGCTTGTGTGCTGCAATGTTGAGCAAGAATCTGTTAGTTTGGAATAGGGCCCAGAAAAAAAAAAAAAGGAGTCTGTCTTGTACAGCATCTGTGGCTTCAGGAATAGTTCTCTGCGGCCAGTTGATAAGGAAAACAAGAAAGTAAATATACTCAAAAAAAAAAATCCTGTGTGATTTTAATCACCAACAACACGTAGGCAGCACTCCTATCAGTTCCCTCACTGCGGCATAACAAACTACTCTCACCCAACAGCTTAAGGCACCACAATCTGTAAATGAACAGCACTGTGGAGCTCTGTTGGGAATCTCACAAAACCAAAGTTGAGGTTTCAGTCAAGCCCTGACTGACTGGTGACCCCCCCCCCCCAAAAGCACTTCCAAGCTCATGCCGGTTAGTGGCAGGTCCAAGTTCCTAAGGTCGTATACAGGAGAAAACAACATTGTAAGCTACTAGGACCACAGCCATCCACCTTTGGTGCACTTAAGGCTTCAACACTGTGACGGGACATCGTGATCACGGTGTCAGGTTGGATATCACACGCGAACCTGTGAAGATTAACCTCTAAGGTCAATTGCACTGCTCAGTACCCAATTCCCCAACAGGGGAAATGACCCTGAGACCACAGAGGGTACTACATCCCAGAGGGAGTACTTGGCTTCCAGGAGGCAGGCCAATGGTTTCGGAAAATAATCAAAAGGAGAAGGGCAGATTTGTTCTTAGTTACACAGAGGTTTGTTGAAGGCACAGACTTCCTTTCCCAGACGTAGTGTCAAGAGAAGACCAGCACTCATAGACCTAAAACATGACCTCCAGACCATTAGGGTACTCCACACAGCAATGTCTTTAAAGTGTGAGACTGCATCCAGTGCGCATCCTCTTGAAATGCACCATCTCATTGTGTTTGCTATAGCTGGAATTGACTGCTTTAAAACAGGAGTAAAATGATATTTTTGCAGGGTCTTATTTAGTCTGGGTTAGCCTTGAAACTTGCATTGTAGCCAAGGATAAACCCCAACACTTGATCCTTCTGCCTCTGCCTCTGCCTCTGCCTCCCAAACTCTGGGATGACCGGTTGTGCCAACATTTCTAGCTAAAATGACCATGTTTGAAGAGTTGCCTGGGTTTCTAGCTCGCACCACTGCCTGTGAAGTTCAATTGGCAGGACCTAGGAGGTAGCAAGCCTGTCCTTTACTACCAAGTGTATGGGGCAGTTTGTATCACGGCCTCATTTCTGTCTTTGGTGACAAAAGGAGTAATGGGAAGATCCAGGTCTACCTGCTGCTCCTAGGGATAAACCACCGAACTCCTTTTGCCCATCCTGACAGTTTTAGACCCTGCTGAACCATCTTTGCAAGGAGATCCCAAAATTAATCCGTGGACATGGAAGTGGAAGTAAAAAGATCATCACTATGGAAACTGCATCTTTTTCGATTGACAACCATGTGGGGGAGGATTCCGTAATTTCTGGAGTAATTCTTGATATCACGTGACACTTGAATGTGCTACGAGGGCTAAGGAGGATGGTGTGAAAGATGTGGAGTCCTTAGTACTCCTGTGCTTTGTCGTTAGAGGTGTTGTACATTCCAGCAGCTCGGTTCACACAGGTCAGGGAATGGTCCAGCCCAAATGGTTAAGTAAAAAGGCCTGGAGATTGCTCACTAAGTCAAATCCCAAAACCTGTTGAGGGCTTTTGTCTCAGGACAATGGGAAAAAGAGATTGTTGGGATGCCAGGCATAGCAGCACATACTTTTAAACCCAGTACTCAGGAGGCAGAGGCAGGTGGAGCTCTGTGAGTTCTATATAGCAAGTTTCAGGACAGCCAGAGTTATACAGTGAGATCCTGTCTCAGAAAACCAAACAACAGCCGGGCGGTGGTGGCGCATGCCTTTAATCCCAGCACTTGGGAGGCAGAGACAGGCAGATCTCTGTGAGTTCGAGGCCAGCATGGTCTACAAGAGCTAGTTCCAGGACAGGCTCCAAAAGCTACGGAGAAACCCTGTCTCAAAAAATCCCCCCCCCAAAAAAAAGAAAACCAACCACCAACAACAAAACAATCAAAAAATAAATTAAAAAGCCCCAAAGCAATACTTGGCAAAGAAGAGAGTTCTAAATACCACTGGTGACCTGCCTGAGAATGCAGACTTGCCATGATATTTACCTGATGAGACAATAACACCAACCAGCAGAGGGGAGAGAAAAAAGCCGCAAACCAGCAAGAAGTTACACTTTCAACAAATGCATAGACAGAAAGCTCATCTTTTATTAAGAGTAGTTTAAAACAGCTTTCTTTAATTCTCTTAATAACAGGTGCAAGGCAGCTTCAGCATTCCCCTACTATATTCAGGGCTAAACTATTTGCTGCATATTGTTGATCATTGTAAAAACAGCATCAGGTGCTTGAGTTTAGATCGACGTTCCTGATGGTGCTGTCTGACATCATTTTTTCCAGTAACTTCTCGAGATAATATATTAGGTGGTATCTTTTAAACCTGAAAATAAACAAACATAACATGTAAAAAGAGATACCCAAAGAACCTGCACAGTAGGAAGTGCTGTGTGATCCAAAGCAGGGGCTCACCATCTGTGGGTATAGTCAGTACATCCCGGGTACTATGTGCTCTAGCCAATAGGAAAGGTGTCTACTGAGGATCAGTGCCCAGATCAAGACAACTGTGACAAAGGAAGGTTGAGTAGGCCTGGAAGGATGTGCCAAACACCGGTGACATCAACCTAAATATCTATGTCATGAGCCTGAACTATAAAGTGGGGGCCAGGGACTGAGCAACTCCCAGTAGGCGCTGTTCTCCACCCCTCAGCCAACCACTGCAGTGAGCCAACAGCTTGAAGGCATGTGGTCCCTCTGGGCACCCACCTTGCTGCTTCCTTGATGGCGAACCTAACGAAATGCAGGCGGATATCCAGGGGTCCCCGCACTTCATCCAACAGCTTGAAAATCCTTCCATATTCTGGAGAGAATACAAGAAGACCAGTATTTCACAGAAAGGAAGACAATGGGTGTTAGTGGATCTGTGTGTACCTCAGTAATAAGCTTCATGGTCACAGATGTTCAGTGGGGTGTGTGTGTTCTAAATGCCTGTACACAGATACAGATGCAGTTGTTACGAGCACTAACCAAGGAACATTGCAAATGCAAGATGGATCTACTGAGCTATTTTAGTCGAAGTAAAGAGTGACTGTACTCAATTATGTAGAACACCTCGGTTGTGGCCAAGGCTGTCTCTCGTGGGGCAGTTTCGGGTTATTCTAATCATACAAATGGAGATGTGTACCTTGTCTCTGTTACTAGCCATTCTTTGAGTACTTACGGCGTCCATAGCGACGGATTTCTGACATCAGGGCATGTTTTATTCCATAATTAATGACTTCTGGATCCACCGGGTTCACAATGAAGTGGGAAATTTCCACAGACGTTATTTCTGTGTCATCTTCGGTGCTTTCAGAGTTGTCATGGCTGGCACTTGCCCCTGCACCTGCGTCGTCATCACCATCTTCGTCATTAAGAATCTCATCAGGCAGAGAATCTTCCAGAGCAGGGAGAGTGGCATTTACTGCCGCAGGCTTAAACTGCACTTCATCACGCTCCTGCGGGTAGACTTCAGGGGACTTGGAATCACCCTCCATCACCCCCTCCTGGGCATCCTGGTTGACAGGAGCTCCTGGAAAGCAAAGTGGTGAAACAAGCTGTGATCTAAGTGACCTCAGTGGCTGCACACAGGCATCTCTGTGCTCCTCGGCGTCTAAAATTAGTTCAGAGGAGGTGAGTACACCAGAGAAAAATCTCCGCCATGACAAACTGACCCCAGGATACAGCATAGATGAGCACCACCTCATACCCTGTAGCTCCAAGAACATACGTACAAACTAGCTGGGCAGGACAGGGAAGAAACAACGTAGATCCCTGGTACTCCAAGCTTAATGTCACATTGATATACTTTACAAGTTGAAAAGCTAAAGAGGTCATAGATGTCAAAATGTTAGGTGTACACCTTCACTAAAAATCCACATCTGAAGGTGACTTTTCCCTTTCGTGTCAAGGTGAATTCTTCTTTTTCTCCCTCTGTCACTTCTGTGTCATTTACTCATGTTCTGATATGTCCAGCACCTTCTGGGGTCATCAGCGAACGTGGAAGACAGGCACGTCCCCTGCTCCTGTGGAATTCTCAGTGTCATGGAGACACCGAAAGGAGCGACACACTCGGCTGTTCTCATGTTGGAGAAGCTGACGGAGATGTGAGAGAAAGCAGCCGAGAGTGCTCACGGGACCACCAGGTTGGTGCTCCCCATGGGAGGGGTCCTCTGAGCAGAACAGAGGAGACAGAGGTAGCCCGTGGAGATGTGGAGAAAGGTGTGTAATGTGAGCGGGGAAAGGGGATGTAGGCATTGCGTAGTAAGAAATAGACACAGATTCTGAGGGTGACTACTGGGGTCCAGATAACTGTAAGATGGTGGGATTGGGGGATGCAGAGCCTGGTGGGCGAGGGACAGGAGTCAGGTTGTATCTTGCATGCTTGGGAACACAGATTTTTTTTGTCTCAGTATGAATGTGGCCTACTATATTTACCTACTGACATCCTTACCTTGGCTGCAGGGTTGAGAGCCATTGTCAGGAAGTGGTAGAGATGGGATGGAGACCGAGCAGAAAATACCTGTCTGCTCTGTGACAGTGTGAGCTAGAATGAAGACTTACACGGCCCGAGTTAGGAAATATCACATGATCAATCAAGAAAAGAAAATAAAGGGAAAAAAAAAGCCAGCGATAAGGCTTCACCAGTAAGAAACAGATTATGGAGAACAAGACACCTTAGGAAGTTGGGGCCGAGGAGAAGGCTATCCTTCCAGAGGACCCAGATTTGAGTCCCAGTGCTCACTCCCCACCATTTGTAACTCCAGTCTCAGAGGATCCCATGCCCTCTTCTAGCTTTTTTGGATAACAGGTACACAAGTTGAGCATAGATACACATGCAGGCAAAACACCCCCACACATAAAATAAAATAAGAAATCCCAGAAAGTTATCAGTAATAAAGGGGTGGCTGCTTCTACCAGAAGCTGCTGAGAATGAATGCCAGTGTCATTGCGGACTATTGATGCCCACAACAGTTTTTGTGGTGTTGATCCCCCTGGCATTGTAATGTGGAGAAAAGGAGAAGGCAGGTGAGGAAGAAGCCCAGCCAGGTGGGAAGGGCATCTGTCCCCTCTGAGACCTTGTCCTACGCTGGGTGCAAGGAGCTGTTTGGACCTGTTGCTCTCTCTGTGGCAATTCCCATCACGTTCATCATTCCATATGTTTCCTTCGAGTTGGAAATATGCTCACATCTGCCCATCCAACTTGGATATATTTACCTTCTCCCTTCACATTGGCGGAAGCTTCAAGAGCTTGATTTGTCGCCATGTTCGCAGTGTTCCTTTTCTTTGGTGATGGACCCATGGCTTCTCCTTCTCCAATAGGGCTAAGTTTCTGTTTAAGCATTGTGTGATGCTCCTTTTTGTCAGGCTCCTTGCCCTAGAAAACAGTAGTGAAGATATAATATTTCCCGAGTGTGGCAGCACATGCCTTTAATCCCAGAGCTCAGCAGAAGCAGCAGGATCTTTCTGAGTTCCAGGACAGCCTGATCTACATTGTGAGTTCCAGGACAGCTGGGGCTACATAGAGAGACCTTTCCAAAAAAAGAAAGAAAGAAAGAAAGAAAGAAAGAAAGAAAGAAAGAAAGAAAGAAAGAAAGAAAGAAAGGGAAGGAGTATATAATATATACATTATATAAACATTTCATTATATTTATATAATATATGAACATTATATATAACAAATTGTAGCCACCACAACATTAAAAACATAGGACATGAAAAAGCTTCTGGGATAAGGTGGGCTAAGAAGTTTTCTCCAGGTAATTCCACAATAATAAGAGTCAGGAAAACAAAGAAATCCGAGAATTGTAAAAAAGCAAATGGCCAAATCTGAAAATACCAAAATGTTGGAAATGACAACAGTTTTAGAAATTATTCCTAAGCTTAAAAAAGCAAATAAGAAGCTGAAGAAAAAAGTAGATTCGTGAAGTAGATGGGGAAGGAAAAAAACGGCAATTAAAATAGAGATCCCCGGGAGACCGGATCGGGCAGAAACACTGAAAAAAAATGCATCACACAAAACATTTAAGAGGAAGCGTCTAGAACAGTGTTTCTCAAGCTGTGGATCGTGACCCGGAACCACTCTTCCACAGGAGTCTCTTAAGACTACTGGAAAGCACAGATATTTGCATTATGATCCTTATCAGTAGCAAATTAACAGTTATGAAGTAGCAGTGAAGATAATTTTATTGTTGGGGGTCACCACGCGTGAGGAACTGTAGTAAAGGGTCACAGAGTTAGGAAGGTTGAGAATCACTGTTGTAGACTAAGCAAAAAAAATGTTCAGGAATTAGACAAGACTGAGGAATTATTACTTTCACATTGCAGAAAACAAACTACAGGGGAAAAAAAACCCCACAGCAATCATGACCGCAACTTCCAGGAACACTGGGACATGTTGAAGAGACCAATTTTCTAAAATTTCGGCTTAAAAGAAGGAACCAAGTTAGAGTCTAACCGCATAAAGTCATGGAAATCCAGCAGAAAATTTCCCGAACCTAAAGGAGGAATTGCAACTCAACATGACCAGAGAAGCGCCTCTCCGTGTCATCTAATGGCTCTAATGTGGAGGGAGCAGAACAAAGAATAAATATTGGAAGTCTCAGGACAGAAGTGCCGAGTTAGGTCGAAAGGCAAAGCCGCGGGGATAAGGGAGACTTTCTTTGCTCGATCTCGAATGGACAGTTACCACAGACTGATACATCTTAAACTCTGAAAGTCAGTAGTTTTCAACTCAGGTTACTATGTTCAGTAGATAGATTTCTCCTTTGAAATTCGAAGAGAAATGAAGTCCTTCCAGGAGCAGCTTGAACTAAAACAATCCACCGCCACTCGGCCATCCTGAAAAAAGACACTACAGGAAGAATATTACACACAGAAGACGAAGATCCACAGCAGCGTGAGAGTGTGGGGAAGAAAAAAAATCACTACAAGGGTAGAAAGACAAACAGCAATTTGAAAAGAGGCAAACATTTTTACCTTAGCGAGCCCACGAAGCTTTAAAGTGAACAAGGAAGAAAGCAGCACTTACCTTGCAGTGAGCGCTCTAAATATAATCGTTAACTACGTAGAAAATACGCAGCCTGAGGGGTGGGGAGTTGACTTGACTGTAAGGCGCCTGCTCAACCTGCAGGCGCACCTTAGGAACCGTCAGACACAAAGGCACTTATCTGTAAGCCAGCACCGGAAGTCAGAATGGCAGAAACAGGACAGTCCCTGGGGCTTGCTGCTGGTTGGGCTAGCCTGACCAGTGAGGTCCACGTCCACTGAGAGACTCTATCTTTTAAAACTAGGGTGGAAGGCACTGGAGGAAGACATCTGACTTCATTCCCTGGCCTTTACAAGCACAGGCATGCATAAGTGAATACACCCGCATGAAAATGTGCAAACACCAAAAAAATATGTAGAATTGAGAAATGTTTAAAAACAAACAAACCAAGATTCAACTGTGTCCTGTCTCCAAGAAACTCACCTCACTGTCGTCAAAGATTAAAAGACGAGAAGTCAAAGTATGGAAGGAATATAGTATTCCCAGGCAAACAGAATCTATGTACAAACAAGAGTGGCTATACTCTCAGCTGAAAAAGCTGACTTCAAGACGAAAACTGTAAGGAGAAATGAGGACGGCCACTGCCCCTTAATAAAAAGAACAATCCAGCCGGGCGGTGGCGCACGCCTTTAATCCCAGCGCTTGGGAGGTAGAGGCAGGCGGATCTCTGTGAGTTCGAGACCAGCCTGGTCTACAAGAGCTAGTTCCAGGACAGGCTCCAAAGCTACAGGAAACCCTGTCTCGAAAAAGAAAAAAAAAAAAAAAAGAACAATCCGTCAAAAAATGTAACAACTGTAAAGTACGTTTGTCAGTACTGCATTGGGATATTAACAAGAGACTTCTTGGAGTACCTTAGACCAATAGTGAGCCCAGATTGGAGTTCCCCACTTCTCTCCCCGTGTCTTTTATCTGTCTACAGCTTCTGATGTGGGGCCTATCTGTTGTTTGTCTGCCGTATGTATGGAGTTTGACTGTCCCTAACACAGAGCTTTGCTCTGTTCTTACCGAATAGCACAGAAAACACGGTATGGGGAAGGAATGAGGAATTCTTTTCTACAGTAATCTTTAACCGAGTTTTGCAAGGGAAGAAGTTACTTTACTGACACTAGCTGACCCATAATAGCAGCCAACACTGCAGAGAGATGTTATCAGCCGGATCCTCATGTTGCTTCCCACGTTTATGGGACATTTGTCATGTAAGCTTGCTTTTAACCAGTGAGCTGCTTTCAGCACATGATTCCCACAACACACACACGTACATTATCCTCAGTCGGTGGCATGGACGCATACATACTTTAATATTATTTATTAAAATATATTTAGCTTAGGTAGTAAAAGCTGATTGCATAGGAAATCCAGGGCTTAGTAATATTGGTTGCATTGCTTTCTTAAAATCAAGTTAAGCAGCCTGACTTCACACTAGAACAGCAGGTTACATATGTAGTTTTAAATAATCTCAAGATGTAGTATTAACTTGCTTCCAAGATCTGGAAAAAGTTCCGTTTCTTGAGACAAGAGGTGTTTTCTGTAAAAGCTATTCCTACATGGGTGCAATCGATTTCTTAGATCAAGAGGTACTGGACAGGAAGGATCATGGAGATCTGGATACAAGAAGAAGAAATGATTTCAACACCACATTCTCATCCACTGATAGATCATCCAGGCAAGAAAATCGCCACACATCAGAGGAAAGCTGCTTCATTCACCAGACTCTACCAAATAGCCAAGAGCTACGAGTACACACTTTCCTCCTCAGCCTGGGGAAGCATCTGCAAAATGGATGACATTTTATCTCATAAACTAAGTCTTACTAGATCTAAAAACTTGCATCTTATTAGATGATAATGGTATAAACTCAGGAAAGCACAGACAAAGGAAGTATTGAAATTACACAAGCCAACAGAGATCAGACACTAGATTTCTGATGATTTATCAGATCAGCAAAGAAAGCAGCAAGTGGATTTTTTTTTTAATCCCTATGGTTCAGTGATGATGAAAACACAATGTTCAGGATGCAGTGGAGGCAGTTCTAAAGAGAAAAGCATACAGGCCTGAGTCCCCACAAAATGAAACCCAGAGAGATTTCAATAAAGCTAATGATGGTCCTCAGTCTTAGACAAATTATAAAAGAGCCAAACATGAAAACAGAAGGACAGAAATCACAACAAAGCAGAGATTAATGACTTAAAAAATGCAAAGATGAGTGAAATAAACAGTTTTATAAAAAGATAAGATGGACAAACCATGAGCCAAGATAACCCAATGCAAGAGATCTAAATGAATAAACCAGAGGATTTAAAAAGGCCATGGCTAGCCGGGCGATGGTGGCACACGCCTTTAATCCCAGCACTCGGGAGGCAGAGGCAGGCGGATCTCTGTGAGTTCGAGACCAGCCTGGTCTACAGAGCTAGTTCCAGGACAGGCTCCAAAGCCACAGAGAAACCCTGTCTCGAAAAACCAAAATAAATAAATAAATAAATAAATAAATAAATAAATAAATAAATAAAAGGCCATGGCTAGAAATGAGAGTGAGCCGGGCGGTGGTGGCGCACGCCTTTAATCCCAGCACTCGGGAGGCAGAGACAGGCGGATCTCTGTGAGTTCGAGGCCAGCCTGGTCTACAAGAGCTAGTTCCAGGACAGGAACTAAAAGCTACGGAGAAACCCTGTCTCGAAAAATCCAAAAAAAAGAAATGAGGAGTTTATGCGACAGTTCAAGGAACACTGATGCTAGTTCAGTGGCTGATCTGATAGAATTCAACCATGGATCCCATATTGTGTATTCAAACTGCTAAGTCTAAACTGTCATATGAGAGAAAGCAGGCTATTTTGTCTTCTGTCGAAAGACTTCAATGGGTTACAAAAGTTGTTCTGTATTCTCAGTTGCTTTCAAGTCATGAGCAGGATTTGAAGTTTAAGGCATTTTTTTTTAATTTTGAGACAGGGTTTCTCTGTAGCTTTGAATCCTGTCCTGGAACTAGCTCTTGTAGACCAGGCTGGTCTTGAACTCACAGAGATCCGCCCTGCCTCTGCCTCCCGAGTGCTGGGATTAAAGGCGTGCGTCACCACTGCCCGTCTTAAGGCATCTTTTAAATGAGCAACTACTTCCCTAACCCTTTCCTGTGCTTGGAGTTGATTGAGGTTAAAGCAGCCTTGTCTCTTTGCACGGAACTGTACTGTGACATGCTGTGTGATTTCCACCCACGCTTGGATTTTGCTTGCTAATCGCTTCTTTAAGATGTTTGTCAGCAGGCTGGTGGTGGCAGAAACCTTTAATTCCAGGATTCAGGAGGCAGAAGCAGGGGAATCTCCATGATTTCAAGTTCAGCC